AGGGGAGTTTGACGGGGATAGAGGGTTAAGTTTCCGGGTTATTGTCGGGGAATTCACGCATTTGGCCACTTCTTACTCATCCCCGGCAAATAAATGCACAGGGGACGCCTTTTTTCGCGTGTACTGCAGCTGGTAGACCGACCACACGGATCATTCGATGTGCGCACTGTCGCATATAATCGAACACAAGGCGCAAGTTAAGGATGGGTGGTCATTTATTGATAAAAGAATTGGAAAACGTGTACAGTAAGTAATATATTTCATATATATTTGAAAACGTTGATGGGAAGCATCGCTTTTCCCGTTACCCCTAATTCCTACAATAACAGGAGTAAGTAAACTTGTCATTTTTGGAGCTAAATGGATTTGAGCTAATTGGTATAAAAAGCATCAATTAAGCAAAATAGAAGTACGACTAGGAGGTGTTCAAACATTTAAGTTTAAGTCTGTATATACGACCAAATATAAATGGAAAATACGTCCGTGGGCACGCTGGTTCCTGACTACTCGAGCGTAATGAAGTGAAGCATCGCTTTCGACAACTTAGTGTATTAGAGTAGACCGTGCAGTTTGAACGCATAGGTTTTCCTTTCTTGATATATCATACTAGTGGCTAAGTGGTTGTGCAAAATATCTGCATATAAACATGCTTATGTCTCATGTTAATCCTGTCGCATATAGAATAATGGAACGTATGGGCATAGTTGGATCACAGTGTTACATTGACAAACACGTTTTGGATATTCACTGTAACACTGACAAGACGAATGAAACCATTGGTTATGTGCAGTGCTTATATAAGCAGGCTCACAACCCATCCTGATTACATAACAACTCCTATTGCTCGATATAAACACGGTAACATATTGGCGATTCAATTCTTCCTGTCAATGTATGTGCCAGAAGATGAATGAACAAAACCAAATTTGCCAATCGAACTCTTTAATCCTAAAATAGTCATATTCGTATTCTTCATGAGTATAATTGGCCCTAGCAGGTGCTAAAAGAGATTGTTTAAATATATTATGAAAATCGCCACATTAAATGTCCGTTTGAGACGCATTCAGTTGCTTATGTCTACTCTTTATATAAGAAGATGTTTACTATTCAAGAGTTACATTTTATCTGCAGCGCCAGTCATTCAACAGCGAGCGCAGAAGATGCCTACGAATTATAATACTAAACACGCAAACTGTATATTGCGTACCGTTTACTGTCATGCAAGTATTAATAACAACTGAGATGTTAAAGGGAAACTACTCGGAATGTGAAATTGTCTAGAATTTGATTTTTAAACATATAAAGTGGCCTTTTACAGAATAAGCTGAAGGCGCGGAAAAACGATCGGTGTAGGAAGCTTAGCAAAGAGTTATGGAGACAAATCTACATACAGGCAACTAATGATCCAGGCGGGACTCCGGATTTAGTAACGATACCGAAACACACGCATCTACACAGGGTTTTGTGCTACGCATATTCAGGTGACCGGAAACGCAAGTGCACTTTGTAACTGTCACATATTCAGCGTTATGTTACTGCACGCACCATTAAAATACAGGCAGTAATACCTTATATTGGCTTTCCATCACTCATGCTAGCCTAACAATTCAATGGATCAGTCCCTGTTTACCACATTCTGAATCCATTCAATTTATCCACTTAATCAAAATAGGTAAACAATTAATTATATTCAGTATTTTATAAATAATAAAGTTAACTTGTGTTTCTTGAGACCTGGAATACACACATGAATGTCTGCTATTATCTTATCAATAATAATGAGCCTTAATTAAATGCTGTAAGGGATAAACCCTCCTACTCCGTCATGGGCCCCGTCTAATGAAAGGGCTGTGTCTTGGCAGGGCATCGTTAAGCAGCATTTCAAGAATAGTCTGAAGCTCTTCACAGTCGAACTCTCCCTACCGAGGGAAATTGCTCGCACTGTACAAAAAATGGTGTGTTTATCATTGCACACTATATTTTGATTTAAAAAAATATTAGTCACGGAACGACAGAGCTTAAAAATATATAACTACTGTGTCGAAACATGGGGCACAATCAGACGAAATTCTGGTTGACTTAGTCCAGCATATCTCAAAGGATGTATTGTCAAAGAATAAAGTGTGCTGTTGCGTGAAATCAGCTTGTACTGCAAAGTATAATTTTTGGCTGTCTTTTACAAGCCGCCATTTACTTCGCGCGTAATATATTAGCATATGTGCCAAAAAAATTCGGAAAATAATTATTTTCAAACGTAATTCTACTTATGTGGCTTTATTCACTCGGCTTTATTTGCACGAACTCACTGACTCTACATTTATTATATTCATTTTCTTCGCAGCCCTAATTGTCACCTTTTCAGTTTTCAAAAAGAAAACTATTTTTATATTACTTTTTAATATTTCTTAATAAATCACAATGTGTCATATTTTTATATGGGTGTTTAATTTTATACCTGGGGGAATGCAGTTTGAGCTATTCTTTCGTACTAAAGATTTTCTTTTAAAAATCCGCGGATTTTATCCGTTTTGACATCTGCCCCAAATGACTTGGATCCTTTCGATAAAGGACCGTATTGAAGCTAAATACCTATTTTTACGCCGAAAAGGCAGGATAAACGGGATATTCGGGAACACTCTACAATTTATTCATTTGGATGTTCATTTTTAAAATGGCCATTTTGATGTCAGCACTTTGTACAGATAACTGTTGGTTCCGTTTAGTTCCGTTTATTTGAGGAAAGACAGGCTAACGTCTTTCAGTGCCCTATTGCCAATAAATTGGTTAGGACATGTATTGACTCAAAAGAAAAATACAAAAATATGGGCATTTCATGCTCACAGGCGACAGGTAGCAGCCGTTCGCTAGATGAAATAGTAAACATGCATGACAACTCAAATGTTACGAGTATTATAATGCTTGTAAGCTGTTGGCTAATTGCATGCATGTGTCTATACAATGCGTACTATGACCCAGATCGCAGTAACTTTCCGAAGGCTCAACCGAAAATCACGCAAAAACACAACGATTTCGATGCTACATTTTTTGGCCACTAGAAAGTCCTGCTGAGAGTCAAACATATGTCTGTATGAATATATGTGATTCGCCGATCTAGTATGGGAAAGATTAAGTTCCGCTTAGTTCAGGAGCTCCCAACGTGAGCCCGCCAGACCATCGGATAATGACTCTGATGATATGATGATCCATTTCATAATATGTCTTAATTCAAATTATTAGCTATTTATTTCCTTAGATATTAACTTGTTGAATTGGACGAGATCCGTGAAGCCAAGAACATTAGGCACCTATTAAAATGTGATGTAAAGATTTTGGCTGAAGTTCCAGAGTCACTGTTGTTTAAAAATATGATATCAAAATTTTTTTAACAGACAGAAAATTGTATAACTTACGTACTTACTTGCCATACTAGCCGCACAGGTACAATGTTAATCCAGCAGAAAGTATACATTTTACTTTGATACTATATTAGGCGGCATGTAATGTGCCATGGGAAAAGAAACCCGACCACACGTGTTCAAGTCTGCAAATGCTTTGTTTGATATTCTAAACCATAAAATAATGTAGCTCAGCGCCCTGATGTTCAAGGAAGTAGTCGAATAAAAAACAATCATGCTTTAAGTACAGAGGCAATGCATTTGCAGCAATAATTGAGGTGTTCTACTGTTCAGCTTCCAGAAACAAAATGCGGCATGAAGGGGGGACGCGGGTTTGTATTCGAGATAGGTTGAGTCCAGGCACGCGTACTCGTCACTTTGTGCACTGTGGCAGAGCACTTGATCACGCTGCCTGATCACGCGAAAGAATAGCGTGATAGCACGGAAGAAGAGCTATAAAAAAATACATGCTGATGCAGTGGGTGTCAAACATCCAGGCCTTAAGTTGCCGCCAATTCATAAACTGTCCTTTTCTAGGGATGGAAATTGATTTCTGAGACATTGCGTCGCCTTTCCGCATTGCTCGATCGTGCTATTCTATGCACGACTACGTTATCGCCCCGTCAGTTCTCTATAATGACGAGCACAGTAGCGAGATAATGCTACTCACACATATTCATTCGTGGCTTTACATGCACAACTGGAGGACGTATGGTAGCTGTCGGGACTCCTCCGTTTGTTCCCTGTAACTGATGTAGCTGTTCGGTACTCTATTCCTTCGTGGTTGATAGCGACGTTGATATTTTCTAGCAAAAGCGATCAGAAGGCACAGATCTGACCACTAGGTCAAAATTTTAACTTTCAGGCGTCTCGATATCAATCATGAGAGACAATAGCAGACTGCGGTCTGTCTTTTTGCACATCACGCAGTGGTATACAGGTTTCAGCCCTAATTACAACAATGGTCTATGACTACAGGTCTTAGCTATACTGATACGTACCACAAATAGGAATACATTACTAAGGGAATTAAAACCGGTTTATCAAACAGAAGGTAAACAGGGAAAGTTTGGGCTGTTGGCATGGTACGTAACAACATCACTATGTACTACGTAAATCTGGCTGTCTGATGTATACCTCAAGCAGAAATACATTTCTAGAGAAAATAAAAAGTTGCCTGTGAATTTTTTTAAGCCATCTTGGTCATTTAGCTGGATTTTGGGAATCCATTTTCGTCCAGTTGACCTAATATTATCCGATTCTGAGTGTTGTATTACAAAAGGACATTAATAAAAAGCGGATACATTTTGATCATTTATGTTCGGAGAAAGAAAAATTGTGTCATGCGTTAATTAAATGGACATAAGTGTAATGATGACAAGATAAAATAAGAGCAAAAAAAGATTGGGGTGATATATGCAGAGACTGCGCAGTATTTATAGTTCCTACCGGTCCTATTCATACGTACTATAATTATCAGTTACTCTAACCACGGTTTGGGGTTGTAATTGCTGCGATAATGGCTTGGCATTCCGCCTTCGATTAATTCCTTGCCACGATTTCGTTGTCCATGTCGGATGCGCGCTCGATAATTGCTCAACAGTTATGTTTGCTGTCCTCCAATTCGCTGCTGGGCCCGGCCCGACCCATGTGATGGATTATCCTACTGTGGCAATGTCTCAGTACGCTGTATGGGAACGGCAAATCGCTGCTCTTGATGTACTGTGGGCCTGTGAATCACGACTCAAGCAGCTCGCGGCTGACGTGGTTGTCGCCACCTACGAGGATTTCGGCCTAGTGAAACACGACAATACGGCCGTGTCCAGTGATCTGCAACTTGGGAGTTAGCATCTTTCTTTCGCACCACCACTGCGTGTTCGGCTATTTGTTTCAGGACTAATCTCCCAGTTTCACCGACGTTATTGCTTCGCCCACATTGGTTGACAGAATTGTGCGAGTAAACATTCGCTCGCAGTACCCAGATACTTTAATTCAGCAACTTTATTTTTCACTTCGCGACTCGACGCGCTGGTAGAGCGCACGTACGTAGCTAATCTGAGCGATCGAATGGCTGCTGTTGAAGTTAAGGATTTGCATGTTGTTGGTCGCTTTCCAGGTAAAAGTTCGTTTTAGGTCATCACCGCTTTTGCAACAAAAAGCGACGTCCAGGAAGACTAGCTGCCTGTTTTCTTCTTCCTCCATTGTCAATTGAATGTCCAAGAAGACGACGTACAGATGTTCTTTGAATGTCAGCACTTGTTTCCGTTCAATTAAGAGGAAGGTGTTGTCCAAATACCGAGCCCAGAATGTAGGAATTTTGGGTCTGAAAACCAGCGACTCCAACCCTTGCGAGACCACCTCGGCTTCGTGTTTGGAAATTGGCTTACCCATGCGCATACCCTTCACCTGCTCGTAGATGGTTCGGCAGAAGTTGAATTACGTCTTGAGACGGAAGTTAACATGTTGGGCGTGTCCGAGGCGATTATGCGTTTCATCGTACTCTTCGCGTAGGAATAACTGGATGGTGCCAATAGGGGGTGAATGTACGAGTTCCACGAAGCAGTTCAGAAAAAGGAGATGCGACCACTGGAACAAGAGTGTTGTTGTCCTGACGTTTCGGATTCCGTCGGGAATCCTTAACCATAGTCATAGTCATGCGCAGATGGGGTTAAAACATGCACAGGTTGCACGGTATTTATAGTTCGTAGTGGTCATCTGCGTGCGTGGGATAATTATCCATTTCTGTACCAGCTGGGATTGATGCCCTGGAAGGTCTCGACTGCCAGGTTCTGTGGAATAAGAGTAAAACGACACTTAACACCAGAAGATAACATTATATCGTTTAGCAAGAGGCTTAGCCGTTTAAGTTTCTCCGAGAATTTTGTTGATGAACGGACTTCCAGTAAAGCTTTTATACTCCTTGAGACATGGAAGTTCGCAAATTTCGTACCCATTCATAAGGGATGCTCACGGTGGTATACCATCAACGACCTGTTTCTTGGTCATACATGCATTTGTTTGGAGCTGATGAAAATGATGGACAACCAATTGGTAGCTACGTACCCAGGTAACCTAATAAAAATGTTATGTCAATCAGAAGGACTGAACTGTCTGAAAGGTGGAGGATGTATCAAATATCGCACCAAGAACAATAAAGTATTCGCCGGTTATTAAGCCCACCTCGGGCCCAGACCAAATTGGGCTTAATAAGCGGCTGGGCCTATATACCGTGGGTTTAATAACTGGCGACTACTGTATAAGAGAACATGGTGGCCACAGTTGCGCCGCAATAATTAATACTCATCTTTTTTTTCAAGAAGGCATTCGACATAGGTAGGCAATTCCAAACTGCATTGTGCATTCCCGCATTTTGAACGAATTCAATGTATGGCTGTTCATTTATCCCTTAAGGTTAGTGAAAACTTTGGAAACATAAAAACATACTACTAAATTGATTTAAGTAGGATGCTTGTCTAAACTAAATTCGTTGAAGCGATCATGTACCTTACGAATACCAACGTCAGTCAAGTCCTCTGCAGAAACCCGCTCCTGAACTTACCTTTAATCAGACCAGATAACGTCACTGTGTTCTCACCGAAATTCCGAGAAATGTTGTTGTTCCAAACATTTGGGCGACATACACCTTGATATGCAATGAAAATAATTTATAAAAGATAATACAATTTTCCAGGAAGCAGGTCACCTTGAGAAAAAAAACTATTCAAATTCGATAAATATTTCTGCGAGCATACATATTTCCAAAGGTGAAAAGATATTACCGAAATATACATTTCGCCGGCGCCGCTACGTGGAGAGCATGTTTTGTAGCGCTTGATTGTAATTAATATTTGACAACTTTTCTGTTAGCGGAGAATCTGCATATTCTTAGAAGACATCGTCTAAGATATCCATAGATGGAAAGTTTTGTAATTTTGATATATCAACCTTTCTTACGAAAAAGTTCAGGAATTATAAAATTATCCATCATCAAAGGCAGCACAATTTACGCGTAGGAATTGAACGCATAAAATCCTACAGAACGAACTAGCGTTGTGAAAATGACAGTACCAACAACACCTGTATTATACATCGGACGCCCAAATGCGAGGTTGAGTATAGCATTACCGAGTGTTCTACGATGGTTTCAATAGCGCTAGGCGTTTAAAAGTGCAGACTTTGTAAATCTGATGCAGAGACACAATTCTTGGAGGAAATTAAAGGGATAAGTCTCCTGCCAAGTGATATCATGGTTTCCTTCGATGTCAAGTCCCTTTTATTTCTATCCCTCAGGATCTGGCACTCGAGACTGTGGACCTACTCCTACGAAGCAAATACGATGAAACGGAGAATCGCCTTGGACGTGCCCAAATCCTACAGCTCCCGAAATTCTGTCTGAGGACATACTTCACTTTTGACGGAACAATCTACGAGCAGGTTAAGGGGACACCAATGGGTTCACCGATTTCGGGACTCATAGCCGAGGCGGTCTTACAACGGCTGGAGTCGCTGGTCTTCCAACACCACAGACCGAAATTATGGACGCGGTATGTGGATGACACCTTCGTCGTCAGCGAACGGGATCAGGTGCTCACGTTCAAGATCTGTCTCAACAGCGTCATCCCGGACATCCAATTCAGGATTGAGGAGGAATAGAACAACCAGATGACCTTCGTTGATGTCCTCGTCTGCCGCAAAGAATGTGGTGGCCTAAAGACTAAAGTATTCAGGAAAGCGACAAACACGATGCAAG